GCGTTGTAGCTCCCCATCGCGGTCATGACGCGGTCCATCAGCATCGGGAGCGGGAGCGGGATGCCGGCGGGCGGGCCGCCCTCTCGTTCAGCCGGACCCCCGCCGCCTCCGAACCCGTTGTTGTTGCTGCTGCCGCCAACCCCGGGACCACCGCCACGCGGTCCACCGTCACCATTAGGAAGCCCGCCGTGAATCGACGACGACTGCGGGCCTCCCGGTCCAGGACCGCCAGCCTGGGGGGTCGGCGGGTGGTGCGGCGGAGCGGGCAGGGGCCCGTGCACCGGGTGGAAGTGGAAGGCGTGGCTCGAGATCTCGATCCGCGCGCCGCTCTGCTCCCGGATGGCCTTGATCGTGCAGCCGCCGCGGCCGATGAGCCCCCCGGCCTTGACGTTGGGGATGAGGAGGCGGAACGAGTTGGCGACGCAGTCGGGGTCGCCGCCGGCGAGGCCCATGACCGGGTCCGCGTCGGGGCCCACGGCCCCCGCGTGGCTGAGGATGTGGGTGAAGGCGAGCTGCACGGAGTTGAAGGTGCCGGCGGCGGTCACCATGCGGTCGTCCGAGTCGCCGTGGAGGCCCGTGCAGCTGTCGCTGATCGTAACCTTGGCCCCGGACACCTGAAAAAAAAAAGAGTAAATAATATTATGCGGGGTTGTAGGTGAGGGTGAAAAAAACAATCAAGTCGAGAAGGAACAAGGGCGGAAAGAAAGTCGCAATAGCAAGCAGAGGGACCAACCACCAAGGATCGGTGATGAAGACAACAACCATGGGCGGAACACGGCGTAAAGTCTGCCACCCGCACATGCATGCGTTGGATCCATCTCCGCGCCCCCGGAGTTGGGCACCCAAGATCCAAGGGCATTCGATGCTACATAGTCCATGTAGGAGGATCCAACACGTTGACGCACAATCACAATAATACTTTCTGCGTGTGTTTATATTTTTCCTGAATGCGGAGGGGAGGAAAATAATATTTCTGGGTGCCGATACGGCAAAGTAGCGGACGGAGAGGTCTGTTGTCTCGAACATAGAGCAGAGAACAAGATAGAAGCAAAACTACGACACGCCCGTCGTGGAGATGAGGAAAATACAAGAGGTGCCGCTTTCAAGATAGGTTGCCCCTTGGATCCACGGATGGATCCACGCTTGCTTGACGTACCGTATGTATTATACTTGGAGAACCCCCGAATTTCTCGAAACGAAAAAAAAAGTCGAAAGGGTTGTTGGCTTTGAGAAGCCCACCTTGGCGGCGGCGGTGGATCCTATCTATGTAGACGATGTATGTATGTACATCATCACTTATTGTGAACGGCGAGAGAGAGAGATAGGTACGGGGTTCAACCCCGATCCGAACGAACGGTGTTTGACCAGCGAGCGTTCCTAACATGTGAATGAGGTTGCTGCTGGATCTCGAAAGACGGGGAGAGAGAGAGCCAGTATCACCATCATCATCGCGGCAAACAATAATTACAACGTCACACACGCAACAGGGTCAAGCAAGAGAGCTTGAACCCCTCCCCAAACTAAATCCTTGTGTGCATGTAAATCTAACGCGTGCTTTCCTTGCAGTCCCTGCCGGTTCAGGATCAGAACAGGAATAAGCAAGACCCGGCAGCCTGCCTCGGGCAGGAAACTATACATTGTAAAGAAAGTATCAAGAAGTCGGTGGTCTGGTGCCAGGGAGGGTATCCTTGAAGAACAGAGAGATTATACAAGCCCACTCAATCTAACGTATTTTATTGCCAGATAAAAAGGCTCTATTCCTCTTTGTCAAATTTCTTTAGTTCCTGGCGTAATTTCAACAACAACGAAGAAAAATTAAAGGCCCTACGGCTGTTCGGCAACTGCCCTGATTCTTTCAGTAAGACAGCCTTACTTGGACGAGGGAATCCACGGAGGAATGGAAGAGAAGACAACAATGAATGATATCCGTTTTCGTTCGTCGTTGCTTCACACGTCGTGCGCATTAGATAGATATTTCGTACCTGCACCGCATGGATGGATGGATGGATTGAAGGTAAAACAAAAAGAAAGTAAGATAGCAGACGAGTGTGTGTGCACAGAGGGAGATGCATGCATGCATTTATTTATTATCTGCAACCAACCGAAGGATCTGGAACAACTTCTAACTAACTTCCTCCCCCGGGATCTTAGACCCACGATAAAGATACCAAGATTCCCGCCAGCGAACAGGACAAGATGATCGTAGGCCGTCGGAGCAGCAGGCTTCGCGTTATTACCTACTACTACTACGGACCTAACAATACATAAAAAACGTCGTGGCAGCTGGTCGCTATATATATAGACTGTAGTACATAGTTAGTGGGGCGCAATATTGCAACAATAATATTGTAAGGGAATCCAGATCCAGGAGAGAAGGACGGATTAATTAGCTGCCACCATACTTTTCTCGTGTGCTGTGTTTGTCCGCCCTTGCTTGCACGCCCGTTGTGGCAAAATAATCTTGACGTTCGATAACGCGCACACACACATGTCGGGGTATAACCGGCTGCCCCAGAATACCGGTCAGACGGTCAGACGGAAAAAAAGTTGCACCACCACCACCGGCTGATGATCTATCTCCATGAGATAACACACAACAACGCATACATAGAACAACGATGGACAAACTTTTCGTGCGCGGCAACCAGAAAAAACACAGCTGCACACTCGCCGCAAGAAACATTTAACATTGGTTGTGTTGGTGGCATGGATGTGAAGACTATTTTGTGCATCCGTGCCAGAGACAAATAGTTGGAACGTGTTTTTTGCACAAGATCACACACACACACATGCGGTGTGGAGAGGCTCGACTTTTTTTTGGCGCCATGACTGATGCTGCTGCAGCACGCGTTTGTTCCTCACAGCACGCGACGAGCACGCGGCAGCGCGGCTTCGGATATCGGCAACGCCAATTTGTTCCTTGAAGGTTCAGAGTTTATCCACATGGGCCGCGGTCCGCCTGCCTACCCGTGTGACGATGATACCAGATAGATGTAAAAAAACAGATTCGTATAGAAATGAAAGAAGAGACGCGCGAAATTTTTGTGAAATATATAGAGCCTGTAGCGGGAGAGCGGCGACTGGCGACAAGATTCATCTCTGTGCTTGGACGAGAGAGGATACAGCAGTAGCACAGGGGAGAGTTTCAAATCAACCATGCCCTTGTTGTTACATACTCCGTATATGCTTGCTAGTTGTGGTTGTGTCACCACCCATTTTGGCCGCGACAACGCACTGGCTGTGCCCTTTAACTTGACACTGACTGACCAGATGGCGATCATCAATATATCCATTGTTTGTTGGTGTACTCAGAACACCAACCTTTTTCGAGATCCCACCAACCTAAAACCAACCCTGCGTTCGACACATGATGGTTATAAACGAAACGGTTTTCTGCCGCCGCTGTGCCGCTGCCGCCGCTGCTGCTCGCATGATCCGCGAGACAACTCGATCCGCTGCAACACACCAACCCGCTCACCTCGCGAATGTGCTTGATTATGGCTCCTCCTTTGCCGATGACAGCCCCGATCTTGCAGTTGGGAATCAAAACCCTTGAAACCGTTTCCATGCCCAGGCTTCCTCCCTCTCCGCCGCCGCCGCCGCCGCCACCCAGCCCCATGCCACCGCCGCACGTGCCAGGTGAGCCCCCGAACATGGGGTCGCCGAGAGGGCCAACCATCAGGTGATCGGGTCTGCGGCAGGGCCCGCCGACCCCGCCGCCGTTTTGAGGGAGAAGTCGCATGGGGGGAGGAGGCCCGCGCCCAGCGGCGCCCACCGGTCCGCTTCGCGGGCTGGGCATCCCGCGCTGTCCTCCAGCCACGCCAGCGGCCGATGGCGGGCCGCCGAGGTGTCTAGGGTGCATGTTGTGGTGCAGCACCGGGGGGAAGCTGCCGCCCTCGAAGCGCAGGGAGGCAGGGCTCCCTCTGGGAGATCGGCGGGGCACAGGAGGATTGTTGTTGCTGGCGGCGCTGCTGCTGATGCTGCTGTTTGTTGAGGAACTTGATGGGGTCGACGAGCGTGATGGTTGCTGATGCTGCTGCTGTCGCTCGATCCAACCAGACGGCGGCGGGGCGTGGAAATGGTGGGAGCCGAGCGGCGGCGGCGGCGTGCCGCCGTGGGGCGTGTCGTGGCGTGGGTTGACGGCCCCGGCGGCGTTGCTCTTGCTGACGCTGCTGCTGCTGCGGCTGCCCTGATTGTAGGCCTGTTCATGCTGCTGCCTGAGAAACGGGGGTGGCATATTATGATGATGATGATGATGTCCCGCCGGATCCATGATCATGTCTTCTTTGCTGCTGCTGTCCGTCTCGAGTTTCGGATATTTGCCTCTCACGCTGAGCGGAGACGAAAGATGCAATGGGCGTTGCACAGCAACCGGTGGCCGCCGGTGGTGTCAAGATGGTGTAAATCTCACCGGCCTCCTTGGTTGATGAGGAGAGGTTGTGAGATCTGCGGGGGGGTTGCACGAGAGCGGAGGGAAAAACACGATGAGCTGAAAAGGTCGCAAGGGGTATATGGCTTGCTGGATGTCGGACTCAACAGGTGTATTGCGACCAAGATTTCCGAAAAATCGAAAGAAGCGCGCTCGGAAGATAAAGGATGGATGGATCGGGTGTGCCTCTCCCTACCTTTGTCGTCCAGCTATTGCGCCAGAGAGGATCGAGGCACACCGGATCTGGGATCCGGATCTGGGATCCGTACGCGTTGCGGTGTAGCACGCCCCGGACGGCTGGTCCGTCGATGTGCGCGCGCGGAGAGTTGCGTGCGTCGGGAAAAGTGTACACACAACCAACTTGTGCGTGCACGGAGGAATTGCTTGCCCTGGGGATACTGGATATGGGAAGAGTATACAAAACGTCTTTTTTTCCTCAACCAATTTTTTCCAATTTTACCAGTCAGTCGTCACCAATTCAAGAGAGGCGGGGGGGGGTACCAATCTCAATTTTTTGGAGGTGGGGGGGTGACCGGGGGTTCCGAGCGCCTTGGGAAGGTCTGCTTGTGGGTGTAGTGTTGATTGACGCTGCGCAGCAGGGAGGTGAACGCGCAGACACGACCGAGAGAACACTAGTCGGACAGCACGCTGGGCAGGAAAAAGCGGAGAGGGGTTCGGAACCGTTGCTGCATTGTCGCCCGAATGAGGACATAGTCATCTGCGAGAGACGCAACAAAGACAACTCTCTGTGTAGGCGTGTGTGTGTGGGAGAGAGTTAGGGAAAGCCTCGTGAGCCTTCTGTGTGCGAGAGCGGCTCCACGCGCGCGACAACACCACCAGTGTTGCCCCTTGTTGAAGGTCTTCAGAAGGCAACTGGTGTGGAACAGAAGCCGAGGTGGAGGGCGAGAGAGAGAACGCGACGGAGCGACGACAGCGTGCGTGAGACACCAGGAACCCAGCGCACACAGGGTCTAATCGTTTCGAGAGGAAAGCACGCTGCAGCAACCTCCAGTGACAAACAACAGCAGGTGTGCGCCGCAAAGCCTCTAAGCTTCCCCCCCCCCGCGCGCTCTATGCTCCCCTCATCCTTCTGCTCAGGATGCAATAATATTACTGCCGCTTCAGCTTTTGTTTCCGTAAACGAAATTGCATGTAGCGGGGGGGGCATTTTTGAACCAGGTTGTTTTTGTGCGGTCGCTGTTGGTTGTTGCAGTCTCTCCCTCGATGGCTCGATGGGCTTTCGGGAGAGGGTCCCTACGTTAGACACTCGATGCGGCCGCTTGATTTACATTAGAAAAAGAAAGACGACGGGTGTCTTCACCCCATTTCATAGTTTCTACTCTCAAGCGTAGGAAAGCACGTGCAATGCTCCTATCCATCGTTTCTGCTGTCACAGATTAGTATACAATCCGGGTGTGCGGCTCTATCTCACATCAAATTTGTGTCTCCACCCAGCAGGAAACAAGAGAATACGTACGATGAACCCGGCTTGGTACGCATGTGCGCACGGCCGAGAGCATGCATGAACGCGTACACCATGCGTGAAGAAAATCGAAACAGATGCTATTGGCAACCGGAGAGCAATGGGTGCCGACGGGGCTTGATTGCAACGCGTTCTGTTCAACGGCACCCTTCGAAACCGATGATGTGGTGTGACATGCTAAATAGGCGAACGGTCTTGGAACGCCGCCGGTGCCGAAGACTGACGGCATGTTTGCGTGGGAGGCAGGCGTCCGTTGCTATGTATATAGACGCGTTGTTGTGGTACATGCGACACCCTTCACGGTAGCACACAGAGGCCGGTGGCCTGGGTGCGCTGTTTTATCCCCTTGCCTGGTGTCCTTGCTCAGCCCATCAACGCGGACCCAAAAATCGCTGACCGGCTGCTGGAAACGAACGAAATCGGAGTGTGGTATGTAAATTCGGTCATCTTCGCATCATTCCAAGAGTCTTCGCAATGTGGGCACCTGGCGTGGGTCGGACACAGGACACGGGGCAGGGCTTCAATGCATTTGGAAAGGATAGAATATCGCCTGGATGGCTCTTGTTTGTTCTGGTGCCATGAGAAGCAATGTCAACTGATGTGTGTCCGTCCGTCCCATATATTCCCACCTCATATGGAGTGCTCCGGGTAAATCTTCATCTTGCAGAACGAATATGTATGCATAGACCCCCCGTCCTCTCCAACCCATCCCTCGTCGTGTGCTGCGGTTTGTGTCAGGATATGACAACATCCGGACGCCCGTGTCGCGTCTCGGTGTTCGTACTTGGCACGAAAGTCCTGTCCACACAAACCCCAGTGCAGGCGGCTCCGGCGGCACGTCCTCTGTACGAACTATCGTGCACCCCCCCCCCTATCTCTCGGTCTGGCTCTCTGCACGTGTTAATAAAAAAAACAGGAGTTTCTGTGTGTCTGACGATGATGCCACCCCTCCTCTCGTCGTCAAGGATCGCGGTTCCTTCGTTCTTGACGCTTGCGTCTCGGCTTCGTTCCTGCTCTTTTTCGCGATGCAATCTCTATACGCAGACAGCAGTACCGGCAGCATGACCGAGACAGCATCGACAACGACGACCAAGCCCACAGAGGCCGCGGCCGCAGCAGCAGCAGCAGCAGCAGCGGCGACGACGCCCGAGCCCTTGGACGAGCAGCCCGCACCTTCCCAGTGCGAGGGAGGGGACAGCTCGAAGGCAACCCCGGCCCTGTCCCCTTCCACGTGGAAACCCAACGCGGCCGCCGCCGAGTGGACGCCTAGCTTTGGAGCACCAGCAGCGCCGGCCGCTAAGTCTGTGGGGGAAGAGGGGGATGAACAGGGGACTGCTGAAGAGGGCGAGGTGCCAGCTGGGGAAAAGGTGCGGAGGCCGAAGGTCCCGAGGAGGGGGCGGTGGTTCATGTACCTCCTGTTGCTGTTGGCTACATGCTTAATTTGGATATCCGCCCGGTGTCCCCTGTGTCAGTGCCAGCGTCTCGATGCTTCATTTCGCTGTTTTTTTTACGTTTTCGATGTCTCATGATACATCGGACACATCTACAGGACCGATGCATTTTTGTTGCTCGGTAAGAAGGTGTCAGTGGGCACCTCGGGTGTGCGCATGCGACCAAACATGTCCCAAACCTGATCGACCTGCCTGGCCAATGGTCACATGACCGACCGGAGCCATAAGCGGCAAATAGGGCTCACCCCCCATTACCCTAACCGCCAACCTACACACGATCCCACTACCGTCGTTGACCCCCCCCCCCCCCCCCCCGCGCGTCCTGTTGGGCCGCGTAGGATGTCGGCGACACGCCCGAGTCGAAGGCAACTCCTTCCAAGGACTCTGCGGCCATCACGTGAGACACTAGACATGAGTCGTACAAAAATGCAGCCCATCGCACAACCTTTCCTTGCGCTTGTTTTTTTAAATGTTTGTGACAGGTAGGTATCTCTCTGTGGATTCCATATTTTTGTGTGTGTCGTATGATATGTACTTCTTATATGTTTGTTTTGTTTTGGGCAAGAGGGGGAAGCGTGGCAATTGGTTGCTTGCCTACGCACACATTGCACCGTTGACCGTGCGTCCCCTTCGAAATGCCGGACCGTTCCTGTTCCTCGTAGACACTTACCACCAAGACTTGGGTGCTCTCGACGTGGCTGCCGCACTTGGCGTACATAATAGCCTCCTCCCGTCATGTATGTCCACCTACCCTACCCAAGGCCCGGCCGGGTAGCGTGCCCGGCACACACACACACACACTCATGAAAGGAACGATTGTCCATCGTTGGACGGTCTTGCGAGAAGAATCCTTTGCCCTCTCTCGAGGACGTGTGATGAAATCGTCTAGCAACTGAGGCATGCAAAACACGAGTACCCCCCCCCCCCGTACCTGGGAGTAGAGATTTCGAAGGAGTGCTCATGGGACGCACACATAGCGAAGTTGATTGGGAAGGGTAAAGCTCAGATAGGCAAGATGGACGAGATCCTTACGGACCCACACCTAGACACTAGGATTAAGAGGTGTATTCTCTTGAATGTGATTGTACCTAAGCTAGAGTATGCAGGAGAGGTATGGGAAGGTAACGAAAAGGCCGTCAAGCAGCTGGAAACGGTGCAGATGGCAGCGGCCAAGAAAATACTAGGATGTTCAAGTAAAGTACAACGAGCAACACTGTATTGAGAGCAGAATTGGGAATGTACTCTCTTAAAACAAAGAGAGACATGCAGAAGTTGAATTGGCAGTACAAGGTAAGTAGAATGTCGGACGATAGACTACCAGCCATGGTTGACAAGGCAGCTTGGGGAAAAGCGACTCCAGGGAAGAAGGGAATCAGATGGGACAAGGTGGTAGAGAAGGTTTGGGAAGGAGATAGGAGACGAGGAGGAGACGTTGGACACGGAAGGGTTCGGGGGGTGCAAGACGAAAGTCAAGGAGATGCTAGAAAGTAGGGAGGAGGCAACCCTTCGGAAGAAGGTACGAAGCGAAGACCACTTGGAGATATACGGGAAGTTGAAAGAAGGGATAGGGATGAAGACGTACTTGGACGGCCCCATGGACTACGCGAAAAAGCTGAAATTGCAATTTCGAGTAGGCGATCTGGACTTGCCAGAACGGAGGAAGAGGCATACCAGCCGTAGGAGAGAGGAAGAGGAGGATAGACACACATGTCCATGTGGCAAATCGGAGGAGAGTAGACCCCACATAGTTGGGGAGTGTGAGTTGTACAGGAAGGAAAGAGAGGATCTCGAGGAGGAAATGAGGCAGAGAGGGTGTGACATGGACAAGTTTGGTAAATTAGACAACAGCGAAAAAGCGATCGCGATAATTGGGGATAGATGGTGGGCACAAGAGGCCCTAGAGGACGGGGATAAGATGTGCAAGAAATAATTTTATGGAGTTTGTGGCAGAAACGTAAAGAGCTCCCAAATGTTGGTGGTGTCTCTAGTAGGGGTAGGAACGGTGCTCCGTCTCGAAAGGGACGCGTGGTCAATGGTCAAATGACTACGGCAAGCAACAAAATGAGTACGCCCCACCCGCCCATGTATTTTGTGTGTTTGTGTGTGTGTTTTTACTTTGTCCCTTGCGTATTGTGCTTGCTTGTCACGTAACAAACGAAATGAATTTGCTGCGCATTATCCGTCTTTGCGAACGGGTTGGAGCCATGATAGATACGCACCGAGATCAAACAACCCCACGAAACCGTCCCACAAAACCATCCCACCACCGTGTGTGTGAAGCTTGATCTTTCCTTGCCCGTATCTCTGCGGCGAACGCCCTGTTCTTGTTGTGTCTCGTTTTTTCCAGAGGAGACGACGTGGCTGGGAAATCGGACGCGGCCACTGGTGTGGAGGTACGTGTAAAGGTCGCCGATGATGGTGGTGTGGCGGGAACCATGTAAGCAGGGGTAAAGAGCACTGCGCTATTTAGCGCTAGTTAGCTTCTCTGTGTTGCACTTGCGGTGAGGAGAGAGGCTTACAGTTGGGGTCAGGAAGGAGAGAGACAGGAAGAGGGAAACTCTGTTTCATTATGTCGAGGTTTTGAGAAGAGATAATTGAGTAGACAGATAAGAGAGTAGGAGCAAGAGAGCCGGGGAGACTGACAAGAGACATAGGAGCCAATTGGGTGCACCGCTGCTAATGCTGCTGCTGACCCTGGTGCCGCCGTTGTTTGTTGCTTCTTCCACCAGGCGACGATACGGTACGACATCGCGTTCCTTGTCAGCCTCAGGCCGAAGCCGGAGGGCACGCCTAGGCCCGAAGGCCTCAATCCTCCCGATCGGGTTGACATTCTGTGGGATGGAAAGGTACAGCAGTAGTAGTAGGGCGGCATGTCGGCCTGTGATAATCTGTAATAGTCTGAAGTTACCGTCGCATCTAGTTACGGCGGAAGCAGATTGTTTGCCTCGCCCCGGACCGTTTCGAGATACAAGTATGTAATACGGACATGAAATCAAAACATGGGCACCTGGAGCAATTGCACCACAACGTCCTTATCTGTATTGGTCCATCGGAACGTATTTTATCTTCCGGGGTCGGCCTAGCTAATTCCCATCCGCGTGGCTTCCTTCCCGGCGTACCGTCTGCCCCGAGCGAACACCACCACAGCTAGATAGTTGTCGAGGAATGTATGAAATGAGAGCTTCCTTGGGAAGCCCGATTCTCACAGGGGGTACCGTGCTGCTGCTGCTGCTGCTGTATTCATCATTTTGTGTTTTTTTCCGAAGACCAAGTGTAAGAACATGGCGGTTGGTGTTCCCCTTGACTAACATTTTTTCTCACACACAGAGCACGGCAGTAATTTCCGCCAACGCTGATCCTTTTGCGGAGTTATTTTATTTTTGTGGTGCACGTGCTACACGCGTATCACCCTTTATGCCAATGCCTCCAGTAGAAAATGCGAACCGTCGTTTGGCACCTACTCTTCTTAATCCTGTTTTTCTTCTCTCTTGTTTTTTTGTGACATTTCTATATACATAACCGCGCAGGAGCCCACACCCATGAAGGCGGGCTCAATGAGGGGAGGGGGCATCCGTCCCCTGCCCCCCCTCGGGGGACGCATGGGTTCATCTTCGCGCGGGCTCGGAGAGGCTAGGGGGGCACCGCCTCCGTTGCGGGGGGCACAGCGGGACATGGGCCGTGATAGGTACGGTGCGCGGCCTTGACTGGATCGGCACACACGGCGACAACACGCGTGTGATGATCGATCGTCTAGAAGCATTTCCTACCTGTCTATACTTTGGTGCCTAGCCTGTCTGTTGTTTTCTCGACGCCGTGCAGGGGGTTCCTGGAGAGTAGAGCAAGCCCCACCCGCACCTCTGTGCATCGTTTTTTTTTAGGGTTCTTGATTCCCAGCACGGCCATAGTTGTGTGTGCTGCTAACATGGTTGCGACATGTTGGAGGCGTTGGGCCTCGATCTCTTTCCTTTTTTCGTTTTGTCTCGTGCTTCCTGGGTGGCGCCCTCTTGCTCTGCTTGCACATATTTGCTTGTGAATGGCGGCGTGAGAGGTGGGTTCTTACTGTATAGTGACTGCAGTCGTGCTTGTCCCTGGGACTGCTCCTCTCGTGTGATGAAGAATCGCGCATGTCTTTTGGGCGAGCGATCCACCAGGCCAACAAAAGCAGACGCGCATGTTAACACTTATTTGCACTACCCCCTATTATGACCATGGACGTGCGTTTGTCAGGGATAACCGCATGGACCAGCGCGGTGGGCGAGACGACAGACGATCAGGTGGCGGGGGGGGCGGTGGCGGCAGAGACAACAGAGGGGGCGGGGGCAGGAGACCCCCCGTGGACACGGCGCCTGCCCTGGGTGAGAGAGAAAAGAGGGTGGGAGTATGATACCATTTTGCCGTCACAGCAGGATCAACGCCTTTGCTTGTTTGAGTTCCTGGCGCGCGCGGGGCGTGGGGAAGCTCTTTTTCGCGTCTGCTCTGTGGAACAAGGGCTTGTTGCGTGGTACCTCTCGTTGGCATGAGGTCAAGCGCTTGCTACCGGTGAGCGCCCGGCCGCCGCCTAGGACGTGAAAGAGGTCCGCCGTTTGTTGATGTCACCAACGCCCATCGCCGATTTGCGTTTTTCTCAAGAACTTAGCCCATCACCGGCTCTCTTCCTTTCGTATTTTTGTTGTCTCGCCCTCTCCATTCGGCAATCAATTCTTGGCGGCAGCAGCGGTAGAGGCAGCGCGGGTCTCCTGCCGCGTTTATGCATCTTGGCGTCTTTTGTGGATTCCATTTGTCGAAACATGGCGCATAGCAAGCATATACCCGTGCGGTTCCCGGTTTTTTCCCGCGGGTTGGTGTAGTCCTCCCCATCCCGTCCCGTCCCCGCCCTCTCTTGTTGTGTGCCGCCCGCGCGTTTTGTAGAGGACTGCAAGCCCATCGAGATCAACGAGGCCACCCGGTGGAAACCCAAGTCTCTGGAGACTACGGGCAAGGCGGAGGACAAGCTGCCGACCGAGAAAGTGCTCATGAAGGCCAACGCCATCCTCAACAAGGCGAGTGAGGACGCAGCACGGGGGTTGTTGCTGCTGTCGGTTGTTTTGAACCGCCTTCACGAGAAATCTCGTTCATGAGGAAGTAGAACAGGCAGTGGGGAAGCAGACCCTAAGTCCTATAGCCCAAATTTTACGCTTTTTAGTGGTCGTCTCGTTCATCCAACGTGTTTACTTGAACGAAAAGCCCTAGGAATTGTTTCTGGTTGTTTTTGGCGTGGCCTTCCTTCCCGGAGCAGACTGAAGAAACAAACACACAGGGCTGGCTTGACTGCCGCGTGAGGAGGCGCTACTACCGTACCCGCAGCTGCTGTCCATCCAGCGCGGCTCCTCGACCGTAGGAAGAAGTGCTCTTGTGATGCCTCGGAGCTTGCATTCCGCCGTTTGGTGGTTGCACGCCTCGCTTGCCATCTTCGTCGTCGCCGTTGTCACGTGTGCGCGTTCGTGTTCGGGGAGAGAGACGGTCGGTGTTGTCCGTTGTCCATCTCGGCAGTGGCGTTCTCAAGGCGGTAGCCCGGGGATGGGATGTCTGCCCCCCGGACGATGTTGCTTGCATGCACGCGGTACATACAAGCGATCTACCCTTCACGCTAGGGCAGTCAAGATGATTCCTGATCAATCAGGCGTACATTTTTTTTTTTTCTGTTTTCTTTTTTTTTCTCCCCGAGTTGAAACAAATGCAAAACGACCCATGAGAAGAAGTCGGCGTAAGCCGAGATTGCAACTGGGTTTCGAGCGAGCTCCATTGTTTGCAGAAACGATATCACCCGTTGAACCCTAAATTAGCAGATCTGCTCTCTCCCTCACGCATAGCTGGAGGGTTGGAAAGCAATTACGCCTTTTTGATTGTCTTCCCCTCTGCATGTCTTGTCTTGAGCATTTCTTTTTTTTCCTTCTCATTTTTTCGTTCTTGTTTCACTTGTCTTGCAGATGACGCTGGAGAAGTTCGACAAGCTGAGCGTGACGTTCATGGATGTGGGACTCCGCGACCCTAAGGTGGTGTCTGGGGTGATCGACATCATCGTGGAAAAGGCGCAAATGGAGCCCCACTTCTCAAGGTCTGCGGCTTGGCCTTGGCTTCCTTAGTCTATCTATTTTAGTGCCTTCCATTGCTCGCTTTCTCCCTCTCTCTGTCTCGTGATGCAGCGGGTGGCATGTATGTTGGCGTGTGTGTTTTTATCCCTCTCTCTCTCTCTCTCTCTCTCTCTCTCTCTCTCTTAGCTGTCCCGGTAGTGTGCCTTCGGCCTTTGCGTTGTTACTATAACGGGTGACGTGGTACTGATTTGTTTTGTTAACGGTGTGGACGCTTGGTCGTTTTTCAGCTAGTCTTGACGACTCTGGTCGCCGCCAAAGCCAGCGCTACTGCTGTTCCTGATCCTTCCGTCGCTGTCCTCTTCTCCACATGCGGCCCTTGTTTTGGTGTTTGCGGTGTGTGTGCTCCGTACTGGAATCCAACAAGCACACACATAACGTAACCACTAACGACGCCAAAGATCGTGGCCTTTTTACAATCGAAACGTCTTGACGTTTTTTTGCCGCGCTGAGACTCTTTTCACTGGTAAGTCGGCTAGCGCAGTCGGTGCTAAATATTACATCGCCAACTTTCCTTTGTGCCCCCCGTTTGTTGATCATCCTTTTGGCCCCCTCAAAACCGTATTTGTTGTTGCGTCTCTCCGACTGGATTTGCTCCGCCCCGCTCGACATCATCCAGCATGTACGCGGACCTGTGCGCGCGAATCGCCCGAACGCCAATCGCCGGCCTGGGTGAGGACGCCACGGGCAAGGACGCGAGCAAGGGCAGCAAGAAGTTCCGCAAGATGCTGCTGGTCAAGGTCCAGCAGGAGTTCGAGAAGGACTGGCAGGGATTGTTCGCCGCCGTGCAGGTGTGAAAGTAAATGACGCGTGATGTGTACGAACATGAGGTGGGTGTGCCAAGCTGAGAACAGGTAAACATTCCGCCGCATGCATGCGTAAGCATGACGTGGGTATGCCAAACGGATTTGACTTGTGCCTTGTGAGGGGATTTTTCGGGGCAGATGTGTACGGGGGGGGGGGGGTCATGCGGCGGGCCCGGTATCTCACGACGCAGGGAAAGGAACGGTTGTACCTGCAGAGTGCAGAATGGCTTTTTTTGGATCTATCGATTTGGGTAGGAGGACACCTGTTCGCCAGTGTGCCATTGAATCATGGCGTCACATTCGAGGCTTGTTTTCGCTCTTTAGTAGCATCGACCGGGCGATCATGCTGACAAGTTATATTGCGACGGCCTTCACGCCGCATTGTTTAGTATCTCATACGACAAATTGCTTTGTTTCTTAGTAAGCACGTTTGCGTCGATCACCGCGGTAGTGGGCGGGCCCGTGAATTCTCGCTGGTACGTGACAGCCGGATATAAACGGCCGAAAATATTGTACTGTGCGTACGTGTTTTGTTTCGTTTTTCTTGCGCGTTTGTTGTCAGAGCGACTCTACCCTGGCGGACGATGAGAAGGCGGAGAAGGAGTTCGGCCTCAAGAGGAAGTACACGGTGAGTTAGTTACCTTATTGCTCTATTTATTGTAGTCACCAGCAGGAAGCCTCTCCCGTATTTTTCAGATGGTACGTACGTGTGACCCCGGCGGATACGTCACAAATGTAGATTCACTGAAATATGTGTTGAAGAGAAGGGTTTTTCGGCGAAGGAGGGCAAAGCATGGAAAAAGAAAACGCAACCTCGCCAACAGGCCTTATGTCTGCGTGTTGACGTTTGTGTGCCGCTGAACATGCTGAAGAATGATAATAACGTCTGCCGATTATCCATCCCCGGCTGATCCTTTCTCCTTTCAACAGAGCAGCAGCTATGTGTATAGTGGCGCCAGAATAGAGATGGGACAGACACACCCACGCACACATACACACACCATACCTATTGCGCCGGTTTCAAAAGCTTGGTTATTGCTCCACTGCCACGAGGGTACAATGGGAATCCTCGAATGATACCTATTTAGTCGAATGGTTTCCACGAGACCTTTGCAATTCCGCGTTTTGGTGCACCGGCACGGGCCCTCGTTTCCTTTGGAGCAATAATCAGGCTTTGAGTCTCGGCTCATTAGGTCTGATGCACAGCTGGGCCATATAATGCGTTGTGGGTGTTGGGTATTGCTGTCTGTAGATTTTGGTTTGTGGCGTTCGAGCAGTTGTTGAGAACACGATCCACCCAAGACTGGGGCCGCGTGAGCTAGCTGAGAAAAGCGGCAACAGCAAAAAGACGAATACATACGTTTAGTTCGTTGCAAAGTTGTACAATGTCTTGTCGCAAAACAAGACCATCGCCTGAAAGTTGAAACAGATACTGTACTATGAAACACATCAGACCTATTCATAAGGCACATACCCATAGTAATGTACTGCCTTGCTGTTTGCTCCTCGTTGCATGAGTTGTTCACCTAAATGGTACTGTTTTCCGCTCACTTCTGTTTTCGTTTGGACCTTCAGGGTCACATGCGCTTCGTGGGCGAGCTGTACAAGGTGGAACTGCTGAAGGAGAAGCACGTACACGCGGTGAGTTGCCGTTACTCCTCTCCCGCTCTTATCCTCTCCCTCTCTTATCACCTACCCACCTTAGGTGCAGTCTCCTTTCACGGTGTCTCCTCCCCTCCCTCTCCCTCGCTGTGTGTTCCTAGGAGAGATGGTGGTACCTGCGTGTTGCCACTGCTGTGTTGTAGTGTGTTGTTGCATTTGCGTGGTTAATGTTCGCTTCGCTTGCATGTCGTTTTGGACGACTTCGCCTTGCTTGATGTGGTGACGCGGCGCTGCTTTTACGACGACGCCCACTTGTGGTGATTTTTTGTTTTTTCACAGGCCATTCACGACATGTTCGGCAACGCCGACGAGCCCGACGAGGAGAGGTTGGAGTGCATGGTGAAGCTGCTTCAGACGTGCGGGAAGAAGCTCGACCACACAGGATCGCCGGACATCGTCAAGGTGAGGATAGGATGAGACAGGACAGCATAGGACAGGATAGGATAATGCAATATAGGACAGGACTAATAGATAACACAGCTAGGACAGAACGGGATAGGATATGACAGGACAGGATTAGACATCATTAGACAGGACAGGGCTAGATAACACAGCTAGGACAGAACAGGATAGGATAGTGCAATACAGGACAGCACAGGACGGGATAGGCCGGGCCTCTCGATGACTCGGTCACCAAGGCCTGCATAAGAGTATTGTGTCGAAAGTCGTGTAGAAAGAAGCCGGCGGTTTGTGAATGACGAACAACCACACGTTTGTAGTATGAGCCAACCCAAACAGCCAAGTACAGTGTTTGAAAGTGGGTGGTCCGCTTCCATCGAGATGGTTGTTTTCTCGGCGATCGCTGACAGGTCCTTCCACAGTGACGACGACGATTCCCTCGCGCCCGTGTTCCAGTTTCCGCTGGAGAAGCAGCTGGAGTCAACGCGAAAATGCAAAATTATTTCCGACGACTCGAGTCGAGACGTTGCTGGTTTCCACGGAATTGGTTGTTGATGGACTGATTTAAATCAAACAATTGTTGTGCCCTGCTCTCTGTGTTTGCAATAAATTATATCCAAAATCGAATCGCAGGACATGAAGCGTTTGTTCAAGCGCGTGGGCAAGGTAGCGGACGGGCGGCAGGTCTCGAGCCGCATCAGATTCATGCTAAGGTTCGTACAGTAAATACGTACAATTCCGTACCATTTTTCACTGTTCGGTACCATGCACCTGTTTGCCACCATATCATACCACCAAATTGCTCCCCGAGATGCCATATCGTGCAAAACCTAACGTGCGATATACTTTATATCGTCATGCCATGGGCAATATACACCGTATCATACCATGCCGTAGGGTGACGTAGCGGTACACCACACCCTCCCTTCGCCTCGACGTGAACCGCAGCACATGTCATGGTATTGACCGAGCCATGCACAATTGTGTGGACGGGATGTTTACTATGTTGCTGTCACAACTCGCAGCACCACCCGGGATACCTTTGCCTGGATGTTGGTGTGACGGCGAATGGGGTCGCTCTCGTTGGACACGTTGAGCCGTCGAATAGAAAATACTACGTGCGGTGTCCACACGCTCATTATTGTGGGTACTTTTTGAGTTTCCGCTTGTGCTCTGTTCCGACTCCTGTGGTTGTTGCTGTCGTTTCGAGGCCCCGTCGCGGCATGAGGCTGACTTATCTTATCTGTCACCCTCCTGCTGGCTCTGGGGGTGGAGGCCTTCCTGATGCACGTGGACCACTTTCCACTCCTCGAAACTCTCTAACTAACCCGCCCCCCCTCCCCTGAAACAATCGCACGTCAACTTTATCAGGGACTTGATCGAGCTGAGGAAGAACCACTGGGTGCCAAGACGGGAAGAGGAGAAGGCCAAGACCATGCAGGAGGTGAGGGCGAGAGGGCTACCAAGAGGAAGTGCCGATGGATGATGGAATGATAGAAGGTTGCCAGTGTCGCTGGAGCTGACGGGGCAGTTAAGTCTCTGTTGCTGTATGTGGGGTTGCGGCGCTGGATATGTAAACTTTCGGAAGGTTGGAGAATGGGGACCTAGACCATGCGCTATTAGGCGAATTAACTAAGCTAAGCTTCTGGGAGGGGAGAAACCCCGTGTTGGCGTTATCGATGTCGTGTCGGGTTTGTACAAAGGAACTGCTGCGGGCCGGAGGCGATTCTCAACTAGCGTACCAGTGGTATGGAAAAAGATCAACTTAAGCTCAGCCACACAAATCAGTATTGTACGACTTTGACGGAACGGAAGTATGTGAGCACCTCTGGCACAACTATCTTCTCATGCCATCACAACCCCAAATCTCACCAAATTCCTCCTCTTCCTGCCCCGCACCCTCTCCGGCTCTCCGACCGCGCTTCAATCTTCGATTCCCATGCCCGAACCAACCCAACCAACTTCAAAAATGAAAAACAACGCGGTGCCGCCATCATCTCCGTCATTTTCGCCACCGCTACCACCAGCTGCACAACGACATCGCTAAGGAAGAGGAGTCGAAGAACAGGAGGGGGGGTGGTTCCTCGAGACCAGGGGGCAGCTCTGGCAGCTCTTCCATCCGACCTGGCTCTGGGGACGCCCGAGTGTCTATGGGCTCCAGGTGCGGCGGCGTTTTTGATTGGTTGGCGGGCGGCGTATCTGTTTTTTGGCTTTTGTTGTTGTTTTGCGGCTGCAGTTGTGCGGGTGCTGCTGCACCTGCAGCTGTGGTTGTATTGCCAGCGGGTACTGATGCGTCCGTGTGCATGGATGTTCTTTATTCTCTCCCTCTGGCGAGGCCACCAAGGTAGTATGTGTTGGATTCGGTATGCATCCAAGCGCTAAGCCAAGGCTTGTCATAACTTGTATGATGAGCTGCAACAGCGGTGTTTTTTGTTCGTGCGAATAGAGCAGCAGCAGCAGCAGCGTATGGTGCGCAAGTTTTCCGTGAAAAGGTGGCTCAGATGCTGCTGTTCCTCTCTGCATGTATAGTACAGTCCTTTGCTCTTCCGCGAGAAGAGACGGTGCCTGTCCTTTGTTGTTCTTGGTCGAGATTCGCTCTCCTCTACACCTTCACTCGCCAGCCAGCACCCGCGATTTCACGTTGATCTCATCTCCTCGCACCCTCCTGAAATGAAACTCTCTTCTTTTCTTTTTTTTTTTCATCACGCGTCTTTTCCATATATGTTTTTTTGGTGCCATGCATTTTTTTGTTCAGGGGCGAGTCGACGTCGACAGGGTCTCGACCGACGGGTCTCGCGGTGGCCACGAAGAAGGACGACGACGGGTGGGAGACTGTGCCGAAGAAGGGGGGCAAGGGAGGGGGAGGGGGAGGGGGGGGCGATGGCTGGAGCCAGGTAAGTTTGCCGCGCGTTCGTTCGGGACAGATGGGGGGAGTGTACTCATTCCCGCAGTCGGTCGGTAGACCATGCCTACATTGCCGGGACGGAGCGAAATGCCGAGTTGCCCAGGCTAACACTACGTTTCACAAGGATTAACCAGAAGCTGGTAGTGTCGTCATCCTTGCGTTCGTTTTGCTGTGCCAATCCAGACAAGATATGCCATGGGTTCTTTGGGAACCCCAGCTAATCAAACGTTTCACATTGGGCAGCGGGGGGGGGGGGGGTATTTGTTTGTTCTCGGCCGCGACACCTCCCCCCTGTTGGAGGTCTAGCACCTTTTCCCTGCTTGTAGTCACGACGGTTGGTTGATTTTGTTCCTCCGTGAAGTTTCGCCGGCGCTGTCTGTTTGTTGTCGCTCTTGTCGCTGGCGTTGTTGTTCGGCGCATGGGCTCATGAAGAACGGTCTTGCGGCCATCGTCACAAAAGCGCGCATGCCGAGCGTGTTTACTCATTTGTTTTTTGGCCTTGTACATGTGACGGAAATTCGATAACTTTAAGAACCTGGCGTGTGTCTGTATGATAGTCTGGCACGGGGGAATTGCGATGAGTGAAAATCCCACGGTTTGCATTCCCGTGGAATCAGATGTCACGGAACACGGTACACCGGAATATCGAAACAACGGGGAAGCGCCATGATGTGCGATATACCGTGGAATCAGATACCTTGAAACAATGGAAATTCCGAAGAAACGGCGAAGCGCCATGTTGTGTGTTATATACCGTGGAATCAGATACCTTGGAACAATGGGAAATCCGAAGAAACGGGATTGCGCCACGGTGTGTGATATACTAAATTCTGATACGGCACAACGGAATGCGATGCGATGCAATGCAATGCAATGCAATGCAATGCAATGCAATGCAATCGCAGGTGCCTTCATCTAGGTCTCGGTCGAGCAACCCGGGGTCGGACGAGAGGAGAGGGGGCGGCGCTGCTAACGGCGGGTCTCTGGTGGCGCAGCAGTCGGCGTTCGCTCTGCTGAGCTCCCACGACGATGACAAGGAGAAGGAGAAGAAGAAGAAAAAGAAGGACTCCAAGGTGTGTGTTGGTGTGTTGGTGTGATGGGCTGGTTGGGGCTTGGTGCGTTCGCAGGAGGGGACGTTGATGGCGTTGAAGCAGAGACGGAGAGAAGACGATAGGGAAATAATTCATACAGCTCTACTGCGACTATATAGAGGGAATACAACAGCAGTGGAAAGAGCAAGCGTAGGTTCAAAGGGGTGCAAGAGGAAATAAGAAACGGAACAGTAGATTGCCTTCGCAGGGTTTTTCATAATCGTAAATAAACATGTTCGATAAACCATACAATCGAGAGAGTTGGGTCAGGGTTAGGGAATATAGGGTCTGCGTCCCCCCTCCCTGTTCTCTTTCCTCATAAGCTTGTTAATTGCGCGAAGGCGGTCCAAAAGGAAAGGAGGGGAAGGACACGAAAGAAGAGAGTGGGGAAGAACGGTAAATTCTAAAGTGAAAAGAAACAAGAGTAGAATAGAATAGCATCAAGGAACGGAGAAGAGATAAACCGCAAGAGAACGAAACTGCTGCTGTGAGGGGACAAAACAGAAGGGATGGGAACGCGGCGAGGGATAGGAACGCGGCGTACGATCATGGCTCGTGCACGTGTCTGTGTTAGCACCGAACATTTGCTGACTTTTCTCAAACTCGCGCTTGCAGCCTGTGAAGTCGACCTCATCAGGAACGTGAGAATGAGTGAGAATATTTCCTTCGATGGACTTGCTACAAGCGCGAGTTGTAGACCAGTCAGCTACACCAGCTCGGCTGCACTTTTGTTTTAATACTTTGTAATCCTCCAGTACGCTTGCCGCGACCGTGCTCGATCAAGACCTTCGCCATCAAACACTTCTCCTAGTGAAGCATGACGCTCGCCAAATTCAGACGTCCAACAACGGCTAAATTTATTATTTACCGAGATATGAGGGAGGGGACAAACCAAAATCGCTGCGGAGCATACGGACGATATTGCGAGTATTCCCCGAAGACTAGACCCTGATACCCCCCCCTGTTTTTTTTTTTCAGGACAAGAAGGACAAGTCCAGCAAATCCGGCAAGGAGAAGAAGAAGAAGGACAAGTCCAGCAGCAGCAAGAAGACCTCGACCACAGCTTCTGCCGCCGCCTCTCCCTCTGCTGCCGCTGCTGCGGACGTACCCCCCCCGGCGGCGCCTGCCTCCAGCGGCGGTGCCCCCGCTGCTGCCTCAGCCAAGGGTCCGATGAGCGAGGAGGTGGCGAGGAAGAAGGGAAAGGACGTGGTGGCGGAGTTCGCGGTCTCCGGGGAACTGGGGGAGGCGTGCACCTGTCTCATGGAGATCGACGCAGAGGTAATGTGGGTAGGGTACCGGTCATGGTTTCTTTGCGGTTCTGTGTGTGGGTCGTTGTGTATCTTTTTAGGGAAATTATTCCGTTCTGCACGCACGAACGTGAAAATTTTCTCGCCACCCCTCTACAGTATCAACCAACCTTGGCCTTTGAGCAGGAGCTTTCGTGTGTCTGCGCATGGTTCAGCTACACTTACAGACCAAGCGGCTAACTGAACCAACAGTTTCCGCTTTGCAGCCATGTCGACCGTTGACACCACCCTCGCTCTGCCACAACTGCTGTTGCACACCGTCTGCTGCACGCGGCGCTGCTCGCTCGCCGCAAACACACCAAACACCCGCAAACCGCTTGCTGCACCCGTTGCTGCTCCTCGCCACAAAACGCACCTCGACGATGATGATGACAACGATGACAGGTACGGTGGGCGGCCGTGTCCGAGGCCGTCAACGACTCTTTCGAGCGCAAGCAGAAGCACCGCGACGCCCTCGGGGTGGTGCTCGCGGCGGGGGCCAAGGACGGAGCTCTGTCCGAGGAGGCCCTCCTGAAGGGGTTCGGGGATGTGCTGGACATGGTGCCTGACGTCTGCATTGACGTTCCTCAGGTGAGGTATTTAAAGTAGCTGAATGGTATGCCTAATAATCTTCCCCCCTGCGGCGTTTTGTTTTTGTTTTTGCCATTACCATCCCACGGGCGTCTGCGTCGCCACGCAAAGGGAAAACAAATGACGACAGCGGTAACAGCAGCAGTATCTAAGAGCAGTGAGAGCTCCGAATGATACTTGATTGGCACGCGTGTACCATGTGTAGGAATGAAACCTGTTGGATTAAGTCACCGATATCGGGTTACCCCCCGCTTATGTTAGCCCTGTGTATTCGCGCGTCACGAATCTTCTTCGCCGCCCACAACTTCCAAGCCATGTCTTATATACGATCACATGCCACGGCGTGCGCTCCAAACCACAGGCAACCCAGTACGTGGCTTCCGCCTTGGCTCCCCTGGTGCTCGGCGGGCATGTTAAGCTGGGTCCTTTGTTGTCGTCGCCTTGCGAGGGGTTGATGGAGGGGGGGAAGGCAGCGGAGTTCGCCGTCGTTGCGATCAAGCAGGTAAAGTACACTACACTACAGTACACTGCAGTACAGTACACTACAGTAAGCGCCAGTACAGAGAGTGATTTTGTTGTTGTTTTCTTTCATGAACTGCATTGAACGACGCGGCGGTGAGGCAAGAAAACGAAGGTTTGTGTTCGGTCGGGGGGGGGTACGTACGGAACCATTCCGCCGGTATATACTTTCTCTCGGTACGCTCGGTACAGGCTTCCATACCCTACCGATCTCGGTATTCTCGGTATAGACCTCCAAACCCTACCGAGAGTATCCGCACCCTACCGAACATACCCTTGTAAAATATGGTATGGTATCTAAAGTATCAGAATACGGGGCGTTTTGGAGCATGTTTTGTTTAGCGTTGTTGTTTGGTGTTACGGTTGACGAAGGTGTTGAGTTTTCTTGATGCGCAAGACGCAGCAGACTCTTACGATAGCAAGAAGTCAACACGAAGCGTGTACGCGCCCGCCTGTCGCTGCTCTCAAGCGGCACGCACCCCCCCCCCTACTTTCACCTTCCCGGCGCTTCGCGCTTGGTGAGGTGAGAGCCTAGTTCGGTGAGAACCCGGCGTGCTCCGTCCCGTCTTTGTAGGGATGCGAGCTCAATGGTCTAACGACTATGAGTACACCCCCCACCCACCCCCCTTCACCTCCGCGTGCCCCCCTCCTCCCCGTTCACTTTGTTGGCGGCAGGTTAAGGCGGCCGCGGCGGCGGACGGCCTGTCCGACGACGCCGCCGCCGCGCGCGCTTCGGAGCTTTTGGCCGGGGGCCTCGACGTCCCCAAGCTGGCCGCGATGCTCCCGTTCATCTGCCGAGGGGACGAAGCCAAGGCTACGGAGTTGCTAGAGCGCCACGGCGTGTCGCTGTAACGCCAGTGGGCGTTGTCTGGTCCCCCCTCTCTTTTATTTATTTTTTTTTTTCGGGTAAGTTAGCGTGTGACGACGGAAATCGACCGCGTCAATTTGTTAGACCAGTACGGACAGATGGAGGTGCTGGATATAGAGAGATCGGAACGGTTTTAAATGCGAAGACAACGACATCAGCTACAACCGACCAACCTCGCGATGCGGGTTCTTATCGCGAGGCTTCGTTTTCATTGGCTCGTTCGGGGGGGCGCGCCGCGGGGGGGAGGCTACGGCACTACCTAGTCGTTGGAGAGTCCCCGTTCGGTTTCGCTGCCAGTTTGTCGGGCCAAATTCCCCTTATCCTGATGGAGAGGATGCGGCCTTGTCTTTCCCACCCTCCTTCCCCTCTCCAGCCCGGTTGACACAGTCATCGACAGTGGCAGTGACAGTGACAGTAGTGACACGGCATAGAAGGCAAGAGTAACGAGGAACGCGGTGTGCTTTGGACGGAAGCCTTTTGCACGTGCTGCCGCAAGTTGGTGCGACGTGGCGGGGGCGAGGGGGGTGGGCTTGTTGATTTGATTTGCACCTTTTGAGAGCGGCCGAAGTGGTGAGCGCGCGGTTTCCCCCCACCCGGTGTAGACGAGAGTCTTTCGCTGCGGTGGGGCGGACTGAACTGATTTCCGTGCTCATGGTGGCGTGAGCCGGGAAGAGGTTGGGGAGTAACTTGTCGGAGCCGAGGGAGGGGATGAATCATCGGTCGCGCGGGGATTTAGATGATGTTTGTGGGCGGCGCGGCTTGGGAGGGCGGGGGGAGGAGTAACTGCGGCTTTCGCGGGTGGTGGGGGTGCCGTGGTGCCCTTCTTGGGCCTGCCTGCCTGTGATTGGGTGGGTGCCGGGTGCGGGCACCGCGTGTGTTGCCTGCGAGGGAACCTTGCTCTCTGGGTGAGTGAGGTTGTTGCCGGCGTAGTTGTCGTGGCTGACTTTTTTGCCGCTTCTCCTGACGCGTGCATGCATGCATTCATTCGTGAAAAGCGAGTGAGGAGAGTTGGTTCATTGAGGTCTTTCCACTATTATTCCTTTTTGTGCTGGAAATCTCGGTGAAGAAGGAGACCTCTCCACACGAAGCAGCAACCTGGCCCTTGGTGCAATAGAAGCGGATCGGAATAGATCGTGACTACGGGAGGCAAGGCGGCAGGGAAAGACCAAAAGGGACTAAGTTTCACTCGACACCCGAAGAGATTTCGCCGTCGGTGTGACCTTCTATCAAGCCGCCACGTTGTTGCGGGTTTTCCGTTTGAGTGTGTGGGAGGAAGAACGGGGCTCCGTGATTTCTGTCGTGGAGACAGCAGTGTCTCGGGGTCTCCTTTCTTGCGGTGGTAGGACACCATCCTTGGCATCGCATAGAAATACGTGGTGGAGGGAGGCGAGGCCTTTTCGTTTTTTTTTTTGTTTCTTCTGCTGTTCTCTTAGTACCGCTACACTTAGCGGCGACAGCACAAAGTACCTTGGTCTCACGTCCGTCTGTCTGTCCGTGCCTTGCTCTCTGGTGGTGGTCAGTCGAAGACGCGGGGAGGAAGCATATTTTACTACCTACCGTATTTTTTGGAGACGAATGGCCATGTTTCGTGTTGCACAGCGAGAGAGAGTGCCCCTGCTGCTTCTTGTTCTTGTCCCCCCGGCGGGCGGAGAGAGTCCGTACCTGCTCATGTGACGTACACGGCCAATGAAAACGCGTCTCGTTCGCCGCAACAGGCGTGCCTAGCTGGCTCATGTTGAGAGACAGGGGTTGAGGCAAGGTTGAGGTGTTTTTTTTTTTTTGTCCCGGCAGGGCAGGGCAGGTGGTGCCGTGCGTGTTTTTCTTGCGCCCGCGTGATTTATTAGGTTTCGTAGTTGTAGTAGGTGTCTTGTATCTCCTGCTGCGAGTGACATGAATGCCAGGGCACAGAGAAGAAGTACCTTTGTTTTTCTCTGGGGGAAGGAAGCCTTCGTGACCTGCCTGCTGCTGTTCACTCTCGATTGGGAATGTTTTTTGGCTCATTTTTTCCCTGTTTGTGTTCTGTTTTTTGGCTTTCATGCTTGTTTGCTTACAATACACTTGGATTGACTGCTGCTAGTTAATGCTGCTGTGTGCCTTTCTTTATGTTGTCACGGTTGCTGTCGGATTTTTGTTTTTTCGTTTGGTTCTACGGGGAACGAACCGGTATACCTCCTGTCGTATGTATGCGTACATAACGTGGCTTCCCCCCCCCCGTACTGCTGTCTTTTTGTCTTCCGGCGGCCCAATGCTCGCCGACCACTTTGAAGTAGTTGGCAGTTCGGCGGACAAAAGGAAGTGGTGAACATGGCTGGCCGGGTTTCTGATAAAAGAACAGTAGCAGTGAGGTGTTCGGCTTCTTGGCATCATCTACACCAACCACGTGATCCTTTTTTTGTTTTGATGATGCCACCAACCCCATTCTGTGCGGATTATGTCAAGCACGCTGTTGTTCTGCTTTCTCTGAAGCCAAACCAACCGTTGTTTACTTAGTAGCTGCCCCCGGTACCAGCTACTACCTGCTGCTGCTCTGTTAATCGAATGGTACTTACCACTACCAGCTGTGTTGGCGCGAAAACGAACGAAACGAACGCTGCACCTTGTTTGTTTGTGTTTTCGATGTAGGAGGGGCATAGAGTCCGCGCCCGCTTCAATCATCTGCCCGATGCCGGTCTGGAGTCAAGCACTGCATGGAAGACAGCCGTAAGGAACTCGCGTAGTAGCTGCCAACATGAACTGAACGGTTGTGCATGTATGCAAAGTCTTGCCTTTCTCTCTGAGAGGAAAATTGAAGGTAACAGCCGCCGCGTAGATAATCAAACACAGACTCGACCGACTGGTCTGGTGCTGTCGCTCGCTTCTTCGAACTGCTGCTGCATGTAGTACGTACTTCACCTCCTGCTCTTTTTCTCGTCGTCATTGTTGTTGCCTGTGCCCACGCCTATATGGACTATTTCCTTCCAAAAGAAGAGACTCAGTCTGGAAGAGAAGGGGAAAAGATCCGGCAGGAATGATTAGGTGCGGTGCGGTTGGACATACAACATGTACACGCTGTATGTAGGAGGGAAAGAATAAGGTCCCTCCGCAACTAAACTGCGTACTACAGTGTACTACCCCCAGTGATGCTCGCTCTGCAACCAGCGCGCTGTCGGGCCATGCCAGCCTACGAATGCTCGCGAAGGGAAACTTGCCTCACGTTTTTTTGTTTCTGGATTATTATTTGCTGGCGTTTGTAGAGGCCTGGGGGGTCTTTGTGGGGTTTCCATTGTGTGGCCGCGGCTGAATTGCGGGACAAAGTGCGGGACGAAGGGGGACGAAAGGGGCTTTTCATCGGGGATTACACGAATAAAATCGGTGCGGGAATCTTCCGATCTGTTTCAACCGTTTCTCATTTATGTCGCACAACCGCTATAGTAGTGTACCACTAACACCGTGCCACACAACCGGAGAACCAACAGACTCATTGTGTTACCTCACATAGCGCGCACGCGCCTTGAAGATATGACGGGAATGGCCAGATTTTCCCGCGGCGCTGCTACCACCACGGCTCTCCTCCTCCTGCATGTTTTTCGTGGCGTAGAAGCTCAGACCCGCAGCGTGTGCGAAGGAGAGCTTGGAGAGGCTAATTGGGCTTGCGATACCCTCGCTCCATTACCCTCCCAGGTATGCATGCTCTACCAAACTAAGATAGACGTGCCGCGCTACGCCATGCGTATGTGGTGCCGCTCGCTGTCGATGTCACCACATCCATCCACTGCTGCTGTTGTATATGCGCGCATGCGCATAAATGCGCGCGCACACATAGACTATGCGCAACAACCAAAATAGATCGTTTACTTGTATGACAGGTCTCGGCAGTCTACCACTATAATTATCTCCCAGTCGATCGCAATTATTAACTCGAAGATCACCTGGTACCGTTCGCTCGCTGCTCGCTGTCTGCAAAACGCAAAATCTTATGATAACTCCTCTCTTTGCCTGCGATGATGGCGGGCGATGCCAGGTGTTCGATGGGCAGGATGAGCTGCTTCCCCTGCCCGGTAGCCCCGACGCGGCCAACCCGGTACTCTACAAGCAGATCTCGGGCGAGCCCGTGACTTTCGACGCAGTAACCGGAGAGAGAAACGGTGATGGTGGAACGGCCGTGTTCGCGCTCACGGAGGGTGTCTACTGGTGCCTGCTCGCAGAGAGCAACGGCGAGGCTGCTCTATTCGACGCACCCGAAGGTGAGATGTAATGTATGTATGGAATATGACATTTTGTAGCAAGGACACAAAGAAAGGTATCACGAGGTACAACTGTAGTTGAGTGCGGAAAAAAAGGTGAGAACAGAATTGAAGCTGCCCCCGTGTGGTGAGTGAATGCATCGTGATCACGATGATTGTAGTATAGTAGTACAGGAATACCCAGCCAGCTGGCTCGCGCGCCCACCGCGGTTCTTTCATCGTTCGTTGGGTGGAAACAGGATCTTTCGTTTCAAGCGCTTCGGAGTTTCCAACGGCCACATGGCTGTCCGAGTCCATCGAGGCCATCATTGCCCCAGGCACCAAGCTCAAGTACATCTTGTACACCCATAGTCATTGGGTGAGGCACCGGAATGTGTAACAGTAGTGGGTGCAACGGAGGACATTATTTGCCTTCGTCTCTTCTCGTCTCGTCTTGTCTCCCAAAATGTGTCGACCGCCGTGATCCACTTGACTATACTACAGACCAATGTTGTACTTATATGGTACGTCCGTGAAAATGATTTAATTGTAGTTGTTTCTCTCAGCTTCTCTCAACTCTCGTTTTACTCCTAATGCCGTATGGGGGGTGGGGCGGGGGGGTACCCATAGTATACAGTAGTCGTTAGACCATTGACCTCGCATCGCTACAAAGCCGGGACGGAGCACGCCGAGTTCTCACCGGACAAGGTTCTCACATGACCAAGCACGAAGCGCCGTGAGGTATTCGGCGAGTCGCATGAAGGGTGTGCTGCATCCAGCTAAGGGTGTAGCATCTAATGCTTACTTCCTTGCGTACGGACGCTGCGTATGACTTAAAATATTTTCTGGCGCTTTCACTTCCAGAGACAGTTATAGACTACAGTGAGCACGCTGTGTAACTGCCTCTAGGGTGCTTGACCAGTTTAACACAACGTGGTGCGATAATCCCCTCCGCGTGGAGTGAGGGTTCTCGACCCCGCACAACACAATCTACTCGACCACCATTCATTATGGTTACCGCAAGAAAAAAAACAAAGGCAAAAAAAAAGGGGTAATAACCTGGTTGCCGAGCTCACGAAGTGATCGGCTTGTTTTACAACGTCGTCGCCAAGCGACGAAAACCCAACCCCGATGGCAAACACCGAGGGGGGGGGGGGGGGGGGGGGGACTCTTTTTTTTCCCAGGCTTGGGGGTTAAACCCTTTACCCCCCCCCCCCCAAAGGAAGGGACCTTTTTCCCCCAGGAACCAACCCCCATGGCCAAACCTTTCTTTCTTTTTTTGCAAAAGGGGGTCAAAAAAGCCTTCCCCAATTTTTTTTTCCCCCCCATGTTTTTCCACTATGGGGGGGGGGGCCCAAACCCAAAAAATTTTCCCTGCCCCCCAACAAAACGGGTTCCCAGGGGCCCAGGTTTCAAAAAAAAAAAAAGGAGGGGGGGGGACCCCCCCAAACTCCCCCCCAAAAAGAAACTTTTTTTTAAAGCCCCCTGACCCCCCCCCCCCCCCCTCCTTTTTTTTTTCTTTTGGGCCAAAAAAAAACCAACCCCTAAATTTTTTTTTT